GTAACTTGGGTAACTTTCAGTAGTTTGATATACTCTTCTAAGAGTGACTGGCTCTGGTAGATTTCTGCAGAACTCCTTTCATTTGCATTGTTTAACTCTCTCTCCTGTGAAGTCATGTATCTCTCCAATACAGACTAATTTTGCTCTTTTTTTTCAGAGTCTAGCACGTGATTGCTGATGACGCCATTGCATCATCATATATATCACTATCTCATCAGTCAACAACATTGGTGTTTTAACAGACTGAAGCAGATAACATATTCACAATTGCAACAGTCAATGAAATTCTTTTTAAGGCTGAAATTGAACAACATACACATGGCAATTTGAGAATCCACTGTGTGAATCCATGCTCATGCTTCAACAAAGCATATTTCTCTTCCTCTGTTCATCTTCATGAATTTTGTTCTTGTCTTTGATGATGGTAAGCCTTGTAGGAACTTGTTTCATTCTCAGCTGGAATCCAATTACCAAGACATAGGGCCCATTTCACAATTGCATTAGTTAAAGGGAATGCACACAATTAGTACTGTAAGAAACTGAATTGGTAAACACAGGAAATTAACAAGGTCTAAATTAATTGAGGCACCCAGTGAACAGACTGATTTGGACAGTGTGTTTAATATGTGTTGCTTCAGAAATTGACCCCCAATGGAATGGTTACTGCTATAGGTATGTCCTGATGATAAGTATGGATAACATAAGCAGTGGGGAATGAATAAAACAAAGTGCATTGTTGTGTCCTTGCACAAGGCCTTGGTTAAGTCTCATCTTGGACTGTGACCAGTTTTCAATCTCTTGTTTGGCAGTGATACAAAGATCATGGAAAAGGTTCAGTGCTGAATGATTAGATTGATCCTTGATTGAAATACCCTTACACAACAGTAATCTTCAAGATCTTTACTCAGAAAGAGCATAAACATTAGGAGATTTGATTCTGGTCATCAAAATGCTGAAGAGAATAATATATTTTCATATGCTTCTGTTTGAATTAAATATGCTAAGGAGAAACAGTACATGTGTGTATAACTCAGCTAAGTGTAGGTTAGATGCCAAGATGTTTTTCACCATGCAAAGGTTCAGTAATCCCTTATAATGAATGTAGCTGCTTTTCAAGCATTTAAAAATTGCGGTCCATGACTGAAAGGGAAGGATAAAATAGGTGAGAACTTCACAATGATTGCTCTTTTCTGGCTTTGAATCAGTTTGATCAGCATTGGAAGGAGGGTGTTCATTTTCCCGATTTTCTCTGAATTTGTTGAACATTTTCTTTTCACCTATGTTCGTCTTCCGTCCTGAAAAGTTATATAATTGTTGTGGATGAACAGCATTGAAGACAACGATGCTCAGACGCAACATACAGTTATGAAACAGTCAATGGACCAACTGGTCTTTTCTTTTCCATTATTCGTGTATATTTGTATATCACAAACAGATTTTATTGGTCACTTGGAAGGTCACTTTGGGCAGCACAGTGGCTCAGTGGTTAACACTGCTGCTCACAGTGCCAGGGACCTGAGTTCGATTCCACCCTTGGGTGACTGTCTGTGTGGAGTTTGCACATTCTCCCCCTGTCTGCGTGGGCTTCCTCCAGGTGGTCCAGTTTCCTCTCACAGTCCAAAGATGTGCAGGCTAAGTGAATTGCCCATAGTGTTCAGGGATGTGGAGCTTAGGTGGGATGAGTCAGCGTGGACTTGTTTGGCCGAAGGGCCTGTTTCCACACTGTAGGGATTCTATGATCTATTCTAATGTTATAGCAATGGTATTTCACTGGTAAAACATTAGGAACATGCAAATTTTTAAATTCAAATATGCTTTGAAATTTAATACAGTTTTTTCCCAATCCTATGCTAGCACACAGGCTTTTGTTAAAAATTTGTTTGTGGGGTGTTGGTGTCGCTGGCTGAGCCAACTTTTCTTTTCCATCCCAAATTGCCTTTGAATCCCTAGTTGCCCTTAAACTGAATGGTTTTCTCGGGCCATTTCAACAGACCAGTTCAGAGTCAGGCACGTTTCCGCATGTCTGGAGCGAGACGAGGTAAAGATGTCAGATTTTCTTCCCAGGAAGACATTTGTAAACCAGATGGGTTTGCCATCAGGGTGGCTTTTGATTCCAGATTTTTTTTTCTTGAAATTGAATTTCACCATCTGCTGGCGGGAGATTCAAACCCATGTGCCCGCAGCCTCAGGTTCCAGATTACTAATCAATGATATTGTCATTTCACCTCAGTCTCATGCACATCACACCTCAGTAAACTAAGTGCAGTTACTTTTAGTGACTTAAATTAACATTACTGATAGACAGAATGTCAGAAATTCAGGTGGTTTGGGCACACGGGTGGCAGTAGTAGTGGGAATGTTGTGAACTGAGTTTCCACAGGAAGTACATCTGTGCTAGAATGGCAAGACCTACAGCCTCTATGTGTTGGGTTTCAAACATCACTACATGGACCCTGCAAGGTTTAACAGATCATTAGTCAAGGGTAGTGAAAAAAAATCTGCCCTCAGGTATGAGGTTGCCATGGCTCAATTTGGGATTAGAATTCTGGGATTATAGATCAGGGATTGGAATTCCATGAAACTCCAAGTGGCAAGGGAATGCAGAGGGTCTGGGATTGGGAACTGGGTCAGGGATCAAAACCTGGGAGAGAGATCAACATTACCTCTTGTATCTTTACCCATGTTAAAACTGGGTGTGATTCAGGCTAGAAATTGTTTACATGTCCTGCCTGGCCGACTGGAGCCTTTGTAGTCCAGGTAGCACCTGAAAAATATGTGCTGGCTTGATGAAATATTTTCAAGCACTACACATGCAAATCCACGTTTAAAGTTAAGAAAGCCACTCGTATCTTATAGCAAAATCAATTCAATTTGCTTTTGACCAATTATAGATATTTTTAAACAACCTGTTCAGAAATGTTATGATGCACCTTTGGAGCAGGTGGAACTTGAATAGAGACCTTCTGGCTCAGAGTTAGGGACACTGCCATTGCACAACAAGAGCCCCATTTTGGTCAATTGTACCCTCATTGTCTTAAGGGGGCATAGCTGGTAGTTTGAAGGTTTGTAAATGCTAATATTTTGCACTATAGGAATAGCATGTCATAATGATGAAGTCAGAGAACAGTGAACGAGAGACTGAGAGAAAATGATCATGGTTTCAGCAGATTAAGACACAGGTATGTGGAGTTGCATATAGCTCCTTATTGAATAATAAACAAGTTGATGTTTGAACATGCTATTGACTCAATGATTTTTCTGAAGCTAGCCTACTCAACCTATATTAAGCTATAATTCTGCTGACTGGTTGTGACATATCACTTGTGCTTTTAAAACATATCAACACACAAATTGGGAGGAGGAATTGTCAATTTGATCCTCTCTAACCTTCCCTGTGTTGCATATATTTATGGCTGATCAGTTTGTAGCCTCAACTTCACATTCTCACCAGCACCCCATACCCTTTGACTTCCTTGTTTGTAAATTATCCATCTCTGCTTAACCTACCTTCACCACTCTCTTTCAGCCTGGTAAATCCTCTCAGAATCCTATATATCTCAATAAGGTCACCTCTTATTCTTCTGAACTCTATTCAATATAGATTCAGCCTGTACAACACTTTCACAAAAAATAAGACCTGCATCACGTATATTAGTTGAGTGAATCTTGTCTGAATTGCTTCTAACACACTTAGATCCTTTCCTAAAAATGGAAATTAAACCTGTTCCCTGTAGTTCAGGTGTGATCTCACCATAACCTTCTACAACAGTAGCAAAAAAAAATCCCACCTATATATTCCATTCCCCTTGCAAAAAATGACAACATTTCATTTGCCATTGTAATCATTTGCTATACCGGCATACCAACTGTATATAATACATGTTCCAGGACACCCAGAACCCTCTGTGCCTCAGAGTTCTGCAATCACTCTTTGTTTCAATAATTCCCTGCTTTACTATTCTTCCTGCTAAAGTGGACAAGTTCACATGTTGCACAACCAATCCTGCGGCTTACTATAACCAACACCATGGGAGATCGGCCGGTACAAAATGAAGTGTTTTCTCTGGCAGACACATAAGGCAACATTGAAACTTTATTGAAAGGATTGACAAAGTGATGAACATTGATAGCACTTCAGCTTTGTAGAATATTTTGTTAAGTATCCGAGCCATCAATTTTCACATGTGGATTTCAGCAATAGATCTTAAGTTAAGATTTTGTCAGTTTACTGCAGGCTTCATTATCCATTTATTTACCAAGTTAACAAACTGTGACGATCAATAAAATAACAAAGATTTCTATTTTAAGAATGTTTTCTTTGATGATAACATAAACAAGAAAGACTTTATATTGCATTTTTCACATCTATGCATTCCAAAGCACTTTACATTCAAGATTATAATTATAAACTCACTTGAAATCTATGAAATATAACAATCAACGTGTGCAATCCCACTCAAAACAATGAATAATTATCCAATAATCTGTTTTTGATGATGTTAGTGAAGGGATAAATATTGATCAGGACAATTGAGAGCACTCTTCTACTCTCATTCCGCAAGTGCCATGTAATATTTTACATGAGAGAGAAAACAGGGCCACCCATTTCTTCAGAAAAATTGCTTCTCTGATAGTGTCTTGCTCCTTGGTGGGTCGGTGGCAGGGTTATTAATATAAGATGGGGGAATTAGGAACAAAACTAGAAGAGAAAGCAAGTGATTTTCCAGCTGCAAATGGTCTTTGACATCTATTAAAGAAATGTCAGGACAAGCCGTTTGCACTTGTGCACTTGCTGCTATTTGTATCTACTTGAAAGAATGTTTAACTATGCCTTGGGAGTCAAAGAGCCTGTTTATACTGATAGGGTTAAATTATTATCTGTACATGAATTTTATGAGAAATTTTAAAACAAATGTTGAATTTACAAACATTTCTTATAGGGTACACAAGTCACGGGTTATATGCTGAAAGTAAACTTTGCATATTTTATCGTTCTAAAGGTGATGGAAGTTTGTTCAGAATTTCACTGATGCTTGATTTACTGCCTCGACTTTGAAAGCAGTGTGGGCTGGACAATGGAATAAAATGTCCCTTGTTATCGGAATGGTGCACTAAGATAAACTTTCAGACGCTGAGACAAAAGCTACTGCAGGGAGCAGACCGTGTGCTAATCACGCATTCTTGTGGTAAAATCAGATGCTGAGATATAACCACTGACTCATAACCTTCTAACACCACATATCTCGATCCATGCATTGGCTTCAGTCCAACCCGAAGTTGGAGAGAGCCTTACCATCAGGAGCAACTGAACTTTTCCTGCATTTGTCAGTGCAACGTGGGCTGTGAGACATAGGAAGCAATTCAGAGCCTTATCATTGAGTCACAGAAGGAAAACAAACTCTTGGCAACATTACATAAAGCCAGTGAACTGTCAGAATAACTGTCAGGAGAAGCAGTAACTCTTTTTATCCCGAATGCATGACCAAGTAATTGAATAGTCAAAGAACCAGAGACAGAAGAGAAGTTGGTTACAGACTGGAATCTTTTCCTATTCTTTCCCCTGCAACATACTCAGTTTTATGAAGAGTTCAGTTGCAGTTGGAAGCCTTCAGAATGCTATCGAGCTATTTGTCATTTGTGAGTTGTGTTTGTGTTTTCCTGGCTGTGTCAGGGTACAGCTCTTACAATAAAGCCACAGACAATTCAGATAAGCACCATCATCGGATTCAGCATGGGCCGTGCAGCTACACATTTCTCCTTCCAGAGATCGAGAACTGCCAACCTACCACAGATTACCACATGTCCAATTCACTCCAGGGAGACGCTCCTCCAGTAGTGGAGCCCAACTGGTCTCTACAGCGGCTGCAGCAACTTGAAGGCATCTTGGAAAACAACACGCAGTGGCTGCAAAAGGTAAGGACCATCGTATGGAAACACTGTTCTTGTGTCACACAACAGTTTGTTAGATGTGTCCTGTCCATATGCTCACCCAAAATCATGTGCCAGTGCAGCAATATTTAAATTTAGGCATTCTGATGTTGTGAGTCATTTTCAAAATATTTTGAGTGCCTGTGTAGGTGGATTGATTATGTATGGATGATAAAGAGCTATAAATAATTGCAATAAAACAGTGCTGGGGAGATTAAAACAAAGCTTTTGACATAAACATAAAGCAAAAATAGTCCATTTCAGAAAATAGAATTGCAACATGGAAGCAGCTACATTATTAAGTTAGAGACTTTTTTTTAAAGTATGAAAGCAGTTGTTACATTAAATGAAGCAAAATGTAAAAGTTCTAGACTCTCCAACATGAAATATATGAGAAAATTCAAGTTTAAAGCTCATTGATATGTGAAATGTTGCAAACTTATTATCCTAGTATCAGTATGTTGCCTGGGAGTGATTGAAAGGTTTTAATTTATTTTATTTTAATTGAAAGTATTCAATGATGCTCTAAGTTATATAAGTGATGCTGAAGAATCTAAACAATTATCTCATAGTTTGAGATAACTGGTACCTGCTTTTAATGATAACCTGTTTTCTTTTTATGTGTTTCTGTTATTCAGTTCCAAACAGGGCTTTGTAGATCTTGCTGCAATCATTAGACATGTTGTCTGTCAATGCAGGCAGGGTTTTTGATGTAGGTATTGTTAAAACCAGAGGATTACATACTACAGTGTTATATCTGCACATTTCTCAATTAGTTACCAAAGAATGTCATGCATCTTGTTATATATCATCTGACCTCTTTGTTCTTTGGCTAATTATTCTCCATTCTGAGTATTTATTTTCTAAAGTTAATGGAAAATAGTATGAGGGAAGATGATGGCCAAGAGTGTTTTAAAGTATTCAGGAAACAGCTCAGCTGAGTTTTTATATTTATATTTCACTGATCAGCTTCCAGAAATTAGGAGGTTACTGTTTCTCACTGGAGTGTATGGCAACCTGCCAGAGGCTGACCACTTTGATACAATGCTGGATTAAGCCTATTCTTGTTAGAAACCTGATTCAGTTGGTCTTTATACAGAAACCTATAACTTAAACCCGCTAAATAAATAACGTGCTGCCTCCACTTTGAGATTTTTCACTATATTTATAGCAGACAAGTGGAAAAGCATTTCAGATCAAAAGCCTCACCCCTGCTTCACTCTCCCCACCATAGTATTGCTCCCGTTGAAAAGGTGACAAGTCACTCCTGAAAGTAGTAATTATTCTGCAGTTGTAGAGATTCACATCAAGTGAGTAAAGTATTGATTTAGGGATCAAAAAGTTGCCATAATAAAGTTGCGGACTGGCTAATTTGGATTTCAATTAAGTGCTATTTTAAAGTCTTCCTTCATCAGCCGATTTGTTATATCTATGAAAGGAAAAGGACACAAATCTTCCAAATATTATTTAAAACTGTGGTGCTATTGCCTTGCGATATAAAAGGGGGAAGCATAATACATTGTGTTATAATGAACATTTTTGAATGTGCAGTGTACCTCTTGAATATAATATCTGCTTACAATATTGCATGCAATCAGAAATATTGTTTAATTTTATGAAACTGACTTTCAAAAATGCTACAGTAGTTTAGAATGTGAAATAACAGTAAATAATGACAGAATATGCTACAAGAAAAAACACCAGAAGCACACAGCAAGGCTGCCAACATCTGTAAAGAGAAAAGGCAGGTTAATGTTTTGGGTGGAGACCTTCATCTGAACCTTGACAAACTCTGATGGAAACTCTAACCTGAAGTGTTAACCTTTTATTTTCTTTATTACAGAGGCTGAATGACCTGCTGAGAGCTTCCAGTATTTTCTGCTTTTGTTTCTAATGAAAGGGGAATGGCAGCTGGGTGCGTTGACCATGTTACTTATTGGCTAAGACTCTGAGAAACAAAGGGGGAATAGCCTGGCACTGAGTGATTGACAGGTTGATGTATGAAGAATGGGATACCAACTGATTGACAGTTCTGTGTATGAACAAGAAAATAGCTGCAGCCTCCTTGTGCATCAGCAAGATGGGTTTTATGAAGGGATCTCAAAAGCAGAAGAGACAATTGGACTAAATGAATAAAATGACTTGTTGGACAGGCAGCATCAGGTACTATGCAAATATAATAGACTGATGTCAAATTCATAAGGAAATGTAATACTGTGGATATTTAGTGCAGTAAACTGGTCCTAATTACATGTGAATCACTTTGAACTAGCCATCCAAATTAGGATTATGCATTTTAGGATAAAATTCAGATATATTTTAATGTTCATGTATAATATAAATTTGGAATATATGTATATAAAATTATAATTTTGGAATTTTGCTGGGACGTTTTTAAGGGATGCCATGCACCCCATTATAAATTTTCTGGCGCCTCTTTGTTCTTTTGGTCTAATTATTTTCTGTTCTGAATGTCCAAAACGGTATTTGGGAAAATGATAGGCAGAAGTGTGTTTTGAAGTATTTGGGTGCCATGTCAATGGAATTTCTCTTGCAGGTCAGAAGTATCATCAGCATTCATTCTGTTCACAAATTTCTTCAGATTAATTCATTTTGAAGAAAAAGTTCAATGTAAATATAGAAGGACTTATCTTGTTTTTATGTTGTGGATGATTATAAGAGATAGCAGCCATAGTGAACCTCAAAACCAGCACCACCATTTAACAATGTGGATGATCTACTACTTAGATTCCATATTCCTGTCCGATCTCTGTATTTCTTGATTTGCTTGGAGTCGAATATTCTGCAGATTTTACTCTTGAATGCTCAACAACAGAACATCTCTGGTAGAGGCCTCCAAAGATCCATTGCCTGCTCAGTGCATTTTTTCCACCTTATTTCAAACCTAAATAGCAGTCCCTTATTCTGGGGCTATGACAGGTTTTCATCTTGGGTACAGGAATCAAGAGGCAGGTCATTTCCTAACTTCACAATCCTACCTCCTACCCAACGGTGCCCGTTCACACAATTTTCATGGAGGCAGTCAGGGATAGACTAGAGTGGGACCTGTCATTTGCTATAGTAGGTCCAAGGTGAAGATGAAGGCAGACTGATACCAATGTAGGCAAGTTTATGCGATATCAGCTTAGAGATGGGTCTGAGTACCTGTAACCTCTGCTCAAAATCATTCTCATTTTCATATTCCTTACTCCCATATAATCCCTCTCCCTCATGCCTCCTCAGCCCCATGCCTTCATTCTTCTTTACCTGTACTCACGCCTTAATTTCCTTACTCCTCCAACCCACACACCCAGTATCCACTGTAATCTGAATTTATGAGCTGCTTTGTTTTTGAGTGACTTGTATTATGCAACAACATTGAGAATTCTTTGAGAAGCTCATAAATCTGTCAATATAAATAAACCATAATCGGATATCTACTTAAAACATAACACTCTAAACAACGCTGTCAAAAATCTCTCAAAATAAAATAAACTATCTAGAAAATTGAGATTCTGGGTTATTTATTGTTTTATCATTAAGTTTCCTTGTGCTGAAAAAATGAACAGGGGAAATATCATTCTTGGTGATCTCTGGTTTCATGAAAGAAAACTATGCATGAATTCTTTCAAGAAGCCTTTGATAAGCACTTAGCAAGCTCTATACTATTGATACTGAGGTGACCTATTATCACTGCAGAGGAGAAAATCAATAGAAAGTTAATTCCACTAGGTAGAACCAGTGGTTTTCCTTCAGAAGCTGGCATTGTAAACATCACACATTTCAATGGAGAGTCTGTTGTCCTATTGCAGATGATTATGACAATTTTTTAAAGCTGGTAAGGGTCATGCCATGGTATTTCAATCCAACACAAAGAATGTTGATGGATCTCACAGTCATAGAGAAATATTCATTATTCAATAACAGTTGATGCAAGTAGAAAGCCAATGTAGAGAATAAAGGATCCATTTCCACTCAAACTATGATTGATAGAATAAGCTATCATTGATTGTATGTATGGTATCTCGGGAGCTGTCAGGTAGCTACTCAGGCTTTTATTTGATCCAAAATATCAGCAGGAACCAGTTAGCATCAGCAGATAAGTACATGCTGTTGATGAGAAGCTACTCTTTATAAAGTTACCAAACCTCGCCTCTCATCTTCCGAGTCTATCTAACAGCATATGGCACACTTAAAAACAAATGAATACAGGCCACTTTTTTTTATACAACACTGTCCATGTGCTAGGCAACTTTCTACTTGATGTTCCTACCAGCATTGCTTTCATCTGGTAGACTCTATTAAATAAGGTGAGGATTGAAACTGCTGAGCTTATGCACTGTGCATCATTTGGAACTTTGTGCATTGAGCACATGAGCACAATTTTGCATCAATTAACATGATATAGTTCTGGTTTTGGGACATTTTGTGTCTGGGCTCCTTTTCTCTGGAAGGGCTTAATGGAACATTGCTGAGGCTTGTCCATGGCACTCACAAACCTATGATGCAGGGAGCGTTTGTGGTCATTTGATTGACTATGATTCCTCAACTTGGTATGAGATTGCCTCTTGATTTCAATCACTTGTGAAATCGATGTACGAAGTGCAAAGTGTTTGGTGGTGGCAGATGCAATCACTCACTGACATGTATGAATGTCCACCTAGGAATTTCTGTGTCACTGGTCATGGGTGGGTCCTTGTGTGGCTGATGAGTCTGATGCTAGAACCACATTTCCGTCCACGCATTTAGCAGGCATTTCCCAGAGGTTGATATTATCCTTAGCCTTGAGATCACTGGCAGTCCTTTCTCTGCTTTCTTTTCTGTGATTCCTCATGCCAACAGGTATTCACAAAGAATTGTGTTCATTCATGCAGGAGCTTTTTCCAAATCGGTTTCTTCTGAAGAAGGATCTCCCATGTCTTGACATCTATGTTGATTTTCTTGAGGGCAGCTTTCAGGAAGTCTTGAAACACTTCCTTGTCCTCCACTCATTCAAGTACCTTCCTTGACCTGGTCAAAGAAGATTTGCTTTGGCAGTCCATGTGGTACTGCCATTAGAGAAACCCTATGCAACAGGGAAAGTAATGTTAGCAAATGAGCAGGACGTTTTTTTTCTCATTGCATGTGGACATTGCTGGCCCATCCCTAATTGTCCAGAGGGTAGTTAAGGACAAATCAAATTGTTGTGTCTGGAGTCACATGTGGTCCAGACCAGTTAAGGACAGTAGCTTCCTTTCCTAAAGGACTTTAATGAACCAGATTTCTTTTTCTTCCTGACAATTGACAATGGTCATCATTGAACTCAATTCCAGATTTTTATTGAATTCAAATTCCACCACCTGCCATGGCAGGATTCAAACCCAGTTCCCCAGAACATTACCTAGGTCTCTGGATTAATAATACCACAAGACCATTGTCTTCCACTGTGGAAAATGCAAGGACAATCCAAAAACTTTGTTCTCTTTTCTTTGCACCAAGAGCCACTTTTTGCCTCTTCGAAGTGTTTGGTGTTCTGCACTGAAAAGTAGAATTTTATCAGATTTTTTATTTCTTTGGAAGGTGGCATTTTTGCCCGGATGTAATTCTTTCTGGGCTATGCATGCTGTTCATGCATCAATGCCTAAGATTGTAACTGGGGCTGTATTTTGCTGTGATGAAGAGTCCAGTGTTGCACAATGTACAGAATTCTGATTCTGTAATGATCCATTAACAACAATTACACTTCAGCAGATGTGTTTAGTTGAAGCAAAACTGCTCAGCTTGCAACGGTCCCTATTACGTACATGGAAGACGTTTGTGTGTGGCGAAGAACAGCTTGTCAGATATTGCATTTGTATTTTTTGCACCCCAACTGTTTTGAAGATGATTCCAGGAAGCACTGATTTCACCAAATTCTGACCTGCTGCCAAACCTCCACCTTGAAATGTTCACCTTGGCAATGAAAATATGTACATATGCAAGAAATGTAAATCTGTTTTGCCTTTTCAGTATTACTGTCACGTTTCAATATTGGTTTCACTTGTCTGATTCTTAGCTGTTTGCAAATCATGTTGGTTTGAAAATTGTGTCACTGAATGTATATAACCAATACTAATTTTAAGTTGATATCACACTGGACATTTATTCCTATACTGTCCATAGTAAATTGACTATTTTAATTATCCTGTCCTCTGATTTATCATATTGTTACCATCACTATAATGTAATCCAGGATTAACTTTTACAATGAAATGTTATTATGCTATCATCAGCAAGTTGTCGATTCACACAGTTGTTGTCTCAAAGACCTGCGAAAAATAAAAAAAAATGCTCAAATACATAAGATACAGCTACTCAGTTTGCAGGACCAAGAAAATTAAGAAGACTGCATATCAAGTTGCAGTTGGACTCAGTAAAATTTTCTCCCTGTAAGAACTGAGCCAAATTTTAGCTTAGTTTCTCATTCAGTCAGCTGAAATCACTGAAGGGACTCTAATAATAGTAACCTACAAAGCTTAAATACTGCAATATTGCATCCAGTGTCAATTAATGACAATGATGTTTGCTGATAGCTACTTGGGATGTCTATTCACAGGCATGTGATTGCTCTCCAGTGTAACCAATATCAACTGAGACATGAAATATTGCACTTTCATATTAAGGGATCAAGTGATATCTGAAATATTATTTTTAAAAGAAAATGAAAACTATCAAAAGAGTATTATGTTGGAAGATGTCAAAGATTTCTGGCAGGACGCGTGTAATTTGTAAGTGAATAACATAACTTTCAAGAGAGTGGTATTGTTGCTACATTACACAATTCGTTTTTGAACAAGTTGTACATTTTATATTACTTCTACAAATAACAGCAAGCTCTCAGATTACCAAGCCTTCCATTCTATATGAGGTTTTAAGCTTGTCATTCTACATTTTTGTATTTGTCTTGTGTGTTATATTTTTGAACACTGGTTGTACCACATATGGTGGACTTTGCTCATTCACATCATTTCCCTCAAAAAATGTAGGGGAGTTCTCTGATAGCAACAACACGGTAAGTCTATTGAATGGAATCTTCTTTAGCAGTTGTTCAGATGCATTGTAAATCACTGTTTTGTTTTTGAGTCTCTACATGTTCATCTGATTGATATTTATGTTTCTTAAAAAAAAAACAAATGAAGGAAAAGTGTACACTACACAAGGACATGAAGAGGGATCCACCAGGACCTTGTATCGTGTAAGAATTTTGTTAGGAAACTAGGAATGACCCTCACTACTCTGGAGCACACTATTCATATAGCTGAAAAATCCATGACATTAATGTTCATTTAAACACTACAACATTTAAGATATTCTGACTTTGGTTGTTGCTAAACTGTGAGTGAAAGAAGATGCATAGTTAATTGAAAACAGATAATCTGGAACAATGTTTGAGAATGTGAACACTAGTTTATCTCAAGCACTTTTATCGTTTACAGGGGAGACAGCAATGCTTTAAAGTTCATCTCCCCAGTATGTTGAGATCTAAAATCTCTGTTTGATCTGTTCTTTTACTGAATAAGCAGCATGTTGCAATAAACTGGACAGCAAATGATGTGATTGGCCCCATGGAGCCAGATTTCCTTAAACTTGCTGTTCTCACTACTTGAGGTTTAGTACTCTTCCCACATCTGTGGTGTGGGGAGGTGATGGCCAAGTGGTATTATTGCTGGGCTGTTAATCCAGAGATCCAGATAATGCTCTGGGGACCCAGGTTCAAATCCTGCCACGGAAGTTGGTGGAATTTGAATTCAATAAGTTATCTGGAATTAAGAATCTAATGATGGCCATTGTTAATTGTCGGGGAAAAACCCATCTGGTTCACTAATATCCTTTAGGGGTGGAAACTGCCATCTTTACCTGGTTTGGCCTACATGTGACTCCTAACCCACAGCAATGTGATTGACTCTTAACTGCCCTCTGGGCAATTTCAAATGGGCAATAAATGCTGCCTAGCCAGCGACGCCCTCATCCTGTGAATGAATAAACAGAAAAAAAATTCAAACCACACCTTAAATGCTGAGTTATTTTACTTGTAACCTTAGTTTGTGCCAGCGGTTCTTGTGATCTATGTAATTTTCACAGTTATGATAGTCATTGGTAAATGCATTCTACTTAAAGTGTCGTGGATGTTCTGCCAAACTTGCTCCACATTTCTTGTACGAAGTGGTAGAGTCTCCCAGAAAAGTAATGGAGGATTCGATTTGAAGAGATTTACGGTGAGTAGCCCCTGGCCTGAATGGCTCAGCCTGCAAGCAGATGGGCAACCTTTGAGCAGACAGGCCCAATGAGAATTTCAGGACAAGTCAAGCACAAAGCCTCCACACAACACAAGGCAAAAGCAAGTCAGAGATAGCAAGAACTGCAGATGCTGGAGTCAGAGTCCATCAGTGTGTTAGACAAGCCAAAAGTAAGCAAGGATAAACCAGGACTTGCCGGGTTAACGCTAACTTTTAAGTTAACATTTCGGGTCCAGTGACCGATTGCAACAAAGACTTAACATTGCGATTGGTAGAATCATTAATGTAAGAATCAGGAGTTTTGATAGTAAAAGAGCAGGGTTTAAGATAATATTCAGTCCCTTTTGTGTCTTTAGTGTATTTTGTGAATAAAATAGTGTTGAATTGCAAGTTAACTTGGATCCTTTTGGTTGTCTCACTGTAATAGTTCCCATGTAAAATGCATTTACACAGAAACTGGTCAAAGTGGCCAAACCATAGACTACTGATTCCTTGCAGCTTTATTTGGGGTGGAACATTGGTTCTGTCCCTATTGGGCAAACGATGAATTGAAGGACAGGTCTCCTAGGATCTCTAAGCATATGGGGCTTTCTGGTGACCTAACATACCTGTGGCATGTCAACTAAATGAACATTCACAGCCTATCTCTAGGACATGTGAGAACACCAAAGAAGCAGCTGGACTGGGTACCATCAATGTCAATGCATCTAACCTTCAAATAGTGCAGTGTCCAACCTGTCCAACAATGTTAAGGCTTTCAAGTTTTCCAACCATTAGGAAGGATTGGTTTTCCTGCTCCTTGGAATAGATGAAAACATTGGCAAAATTGGGGAATGATGTGCTCTTCACAACTCCCCACTACAGACTACAACTTTTGGCAGAAATGCGTCTGAGGCAACAGCATGCTGAGTTGACACATTCTTGTACAGTATCTTCCTTATAAGTTCTCAAACTACAACACAGACATGGTGAATAATACCATTAGGCATTATCCTACTTTGGCAGCTGCCATCAATGATTGGATTCTTATTTTAGAATCCCCACAGTGCAGATGAAGGCCATTCAGCCCACTGAGCACAGACCAACCCTCCATACAGCATTCCACCCAGACCCACACCTCTGTCCCTGCATTTCCTATGGCTAATCCACCTAGCCTACACATCTGTGGACACTACAAGGCAATTGAGGATAGCCAAGCCACCTGAACTGTGCATCTTTATACTATGGGAGGAAACCCATGCAGACATAGGTGAATATGCGAACTCCACACAGACAATTCCCTCTCAGGGGATTGAACCTGGGTCCTTGGCATTGTGAGGCAGTAGTGCTAACCACTGAGCCACTGTGTCATTCCTTATGGTGGGTGTGGGTGGGGGTGGGGGATGGTTTGGTGGCATTTGATTACAATTTGACTTTCTCATCCAGTTGTCTCACAGAGAGGAAGCTCTTTTGTTTCTGCTATTCCTTTCCTTTTCTAAATGGATGAGTGAAAGTTTTCAAGTTTATAATTTGAGCACTTATGTTTGAGCCTGCATCTTTTGATTCTTTAGTGAAGGGCCTCCACAGCAATCTGCTGACTCATCCACTTTTGTTCATTATTCAATAATGAAATTTTGAGCAGTTTATTGAAAAAGTTAAGATTTACAGAACTGGAAGATTATTGATGAGCAAAGAAACTGTTTCATTAATCACAGAAAGAATCAATGGTATGATTCATAGATGAAATAGTCATTAAGCGAACTCTTTATTTGTTATTCAGATAATAAAGACAAGAAGAAATGCAACAATCACCCACTCATGCAGAGTTAATAATGATCAGAAAATGTACCCTCAAGAAGTTAAAACCTGTAATTGGTTTCAAACCTTTAATTGCTGCTCCAACTTGAAACATTTCACCTGTCAATGCCAAGACTCACTACAGGAGAACTTTGTTGCCACAAGCTACAGCATTATAAATCTCATTTTACAATTTTTTTTCTTTGCAAAAAGTTGCCAGAACAGCTGAAATCTCAGAAGATGCAAGCCGTGATATGAATGAAGTATTGCTTATAACCCGGGATCAGAGAATATTTTGTCTCTGCATTCGTAAAGTTTGAAAGTTAACAATACTGTTGTGTGATAATTGAGCATTCAATGTTCAATAGCCCTAAGTGATTTTAGTGAGGTTTAGAATCTGCGTGATAGTGAGTCTCTTGTTTCAAAAATAGTTGCCTGAGGGAAAGTTTGTAGAAAGTCAGCATTAAAAGTGTAGAAAAGCTTGAAGAACTACTTATTCAATCTTAAGTCACAAGAAACAGCAGATTTTGACCTGCAGAACACTGAAACAGAATCCATCTGTCTGGCAAGAGCATTTTTTTGTTAACCATGCTGGAAACTATCTGCTTTCCTGCAGTGCTTTTATAGATATATATTTTCTTATCAGAAGAATCAATTAAATATCGTGTATAATTGTACTTTTCATCAAAGATATTCTTCAGAGTAATCAATGAGCTCTTATTGAAATGACTTACCCTGCAATTTGATTTTTACTAATCAGTCATGACAGAGAATGATCTTTTCCCATTTTAATAAGTTGTGAGGAGTGCAGAAGCATGAGATCTGTTCACTTATCACAGAATCCAGCAGAACTATGCAGATGTACCTCCGTTCCTCAAGGCAGGCATTGCTGTAGGACTTACATAGCTTGTGCATGTTTTTAAGTGATATGATTGAAGAACGTTACATAGGCCATGCAAGGAACAGCCTGCTACACTAACTGACCCCGTGGAATTGTGGCAATACATGGATTAATTTCTCCCCTTTGAACTCTGTTCTATTTGTTTGCAATATCCTAAATTTGTTCTTCTTTATGCTAATCCCAAGTCATTTACTGCACAAGCAGCCAGTCAATAGATTAACAAATCATGTAGCCCAGCAGAAGGCCATTTAACACTTTATGCACATGGACTCTTTTGGAACATATATCCAATTAGTCAGACTTCCCTGCTCTTTCCTCATAGCCATGCAAAAGTTTTATTTGTCACTAGAAATCCAGTTCCTTTTAAGGTTACCGCTGAATATATGCCTATCTATCTTTCAGTCCAAGCATCCGAGATCATAGAAACACACCAGTTCTTGGAACAGACCACACTGCAGGCTATTTATTCATTGTAATTTTTATGGAGCATTTCAGTTCATTAAAATAAAAAAAAATCATTGTACTTTATTAACTGGGCTCATGTAATTTTATTAAAATGGTCTTTGCTACTTTAACATTTTGTTCTTTTTAGTTATGGAAAAAAAAGCTTACATTCATATATCCCCTTAGGGTGGCACAAAGTGTTTCATTGTCAAAGAATTACTTTGATGTCTAGTCATTAATGTTATGTTTTTTCAAAGACAAAAAAAAAGACAACACAAAAAAAGAGCATTTCATCTGTTTTGGTGAGTTGACTGAAGATCAGAAGGAGAAATAGCGCCACAGGCTCAGTTGTATCTAGAAATGGCTGTTGGTTAGCTCAATTAGCTGGACAGCTGGCTCGTAATCTGGAGTGATGCCAATAGCATGGGCTCAATTTCCCCACCAGCTTGGTTACTCGACTTCTCCCCTCACCATAGGCACGTTGACCCTCAGGTTAAGCCACTTCTGGTTGTCTCTCTGTGATGAGAGAATAGGACTATGGTGACTTTATATCTGCACAGGCAAGTCGTAATTAAATATCACATCTAAAAAAATGGCACTACAGTCAATACAGCACTCCCTCGATACTGCTGTGAAGTAGATCGCAAATTATGCGACAGTAAGGTTTGAATTGGCTATGTTTTTACAAAGAGGTCAACGTGCTATCCTTGAATTAAACTGACACTTTTCATTTAGTTATAGAGTCCTAGAGTTGTGCAGTATGGAAACGGACTATTCAGCCCAACTCGTCCATACCAATCAAATATCCTAAATTAATCCAATCCTGTTTGCCGGCATTTAACCCATATCTCTCTAAACCCTTCCTATTCATGTACCCATCCAAATGCCTTTTAGATGTTGTAACCGTAGCAGCCTCCACTACTTCCTCTGGCATCTTATTCCACACATGCACCACCTTCTGTGTGAAAAAGTTGCCGCTTAGGTCCCTTTTAAATCTTTCCCCTTTCACCCTAAACATTTAGTTTTGGACTCTCTTACCAGAGGAAAAAGACCTTGCCTGTTCACCCTATTCATTCCCTTTATGATTTTAGAAACCTCTAATAAGGTCACCCCTCAGCCTCTGATGATCCAGGGAAAATAGCCCCAGCCTGTTCAGCCTCTCCCTATAGCTCAAACCCTCCAACCGTGGCAGCATCCCTGTAAATCTTTTCTGCACCATTTCAAGTTTAACAACATCTTTCCTATAACAGGGAGACCAGAGTTGAATACAGTATTCCAGAAGTGGCCTAACCAATGTCCTGTAAAGCTGCAACATGATGTCCCAACTCCTATACTCGATGCACTGACCAATGAAGGCAAGCATACCAAACATTTTCTTCACCACCCTGTCTACCTGCAACTGCACTTTCGAGAAACTATGTACCTGCACTCCATGGCCTCTTTGCTCGGCAATCATGAGCTTGCATTCAGTTAGTGTGACATTGCTAGCTCCACTGTGAGAGTGAGCATTTTGGAATAGCCTCCACTCTGCAATTTTCAGAAGTTCAGTGTTGACCTTTGAAAGGACTGTGCTTCAAACCAGCTCTGGGCTGTCATGTTCTGTGGGGAGCCCTGGTTTTGAGCCAGAATCTGGCAGCTAAGTTGAAAAGGTGTTGCCAACTCCTCATCTCATTTTGAAGTACTCCACCCACTGCCCCTACAATTTCCTTCTCTCCTCATCCTGAATATCTCTGTTCGCCCCTAACCTTGCCTTTCTGGAACCTACCAGCTTGGCCCTGGCAAGACCTTAATATATATTCGTCCTGATCCCATCGGCAGCTGTTTTTCAAAGGAAAGCCTGAAATTATCCCATTGATTTGAATAGCTGGGAGCTGTCAGACAGAAGACATCTCCCCAGGGGAGCAGAATGCCTCCTTCAGGGCACTAAAGGGTTTACCAACTCTAGCATTGCTGCACAACAGGTTGCCTAAGGAGAGGTAAGCTGCCAGGGTGCAGGGACGTCACCTCTAATTCGAAATTCAGCCCTTGGAGTGTTGATGTTGTAGCTGTAATATCACTAGAATAGTAGCTAAGCACCCTAGACTAAAGTCCTGGGGATATAGGTGTGAACCCACTTCTAAAGTTTGAATTCTGCAGAAATCTGGAATTAAAAACTGGCCTAATGATGACCATGAAACCAGTACTGATTGTTTTTCGGGAAGAAAAATCTGCTGTCCTTATCTCATGTTGGCTACATGTGACTCCAGATCCACAGCAGTATGGTTGACACTTAACAGTCCTCTGAAATGGTCCCATCAGTTAGGGATGGGACATGCAGTCCTTATCAGTGATGTTAACATCCCATGAACAAGTCTTTAAAAAATATCTAAATGATAATGTGATACTATTGATATGTATTGGTATTAATACTGTGACACCCTTGAGCATGTCCTGTCATTCAATGAAATGTGGATCTATGGCCTAAATCCATATACTTGCCTTTGACCCATATCCCTTAATACCCTTGCTTAACAACAATTCATCTATTTCAGTTTTAAAATTAACAACTGATCCTATATCCCCTGCAAGTTGTGGAAGAAAGTTCCAAACATCTACCACCCTATGTGTGTAGAAGTGCTTCCTAACATCTCTCCTGAGTGGTCTGGGCTTAATTCTCAGACTACACTCCCTAGTTCTAGAATCGTCAATCAATGCAACACTTTATCATTATTTACCTTAACCTTCCCTGTTAATACATTCATAGAGTGATGCAAATTGGAGACAGAACCTTGGTCCAACTCCTTAATGCTGACCAGGTTTCCCAAACTAAACTAATACCATTTTCCTGCATTTAGCTCATATCCCTCTAATTATTTATTATTCATGTATCTATCTAAATGTCTTTTGAATGTTGTAATCGGCCACTTCCTCTGGCAGTTCATTCCATGTACGAACTGTTTTCTGTGTGAAAATGTTACCCCTCAGGTCCCTTTTAAATCTTTCCTTTCTCACATTAAAATTACGCCCTCTAGTTTTGAACTGTCCTACCCTGGGGAAAGACCTTGCCATTTACCTTATCTATGCCCCTCATGAGTTAATAAATCCTTACTAGGTCACTGCTAAACCTGCTACGCTCCAGGGGAGAAAAGGCCCAGCCTATTCAACCTTTCCTTATAACTCAAATCCTCCAGACCCAGTAACATCCTTGTAAATCTTTTTCTGCACCCTTTCCAATTTGTAATATCCTATCATCATGTCGGTAAGATGGAAAATGTAAGGGGAGTGGGTAGAGAAATATCTTAAATAGGACTTCCACTGGGGATGACGGTTGGGTGTGCAGAAAAGGAGGCAGCCCCTAAATTTCCATCTGCTGGCAACCTGGAAAGTTGCCAGTTACTTACTGTGCCACGGGCAATGCCTTTAAACGGATGAGGGGCGATCAAATTGAAACTTACAGAATACTGAATGGCCTGGACAGAGTGGATGATGGGAAGATGCTTCCATTGGTAGGAGAGACTAGGACTCAAAGGCACAGCCTTAGAGTAAAGGGAAGACCTTTTAGAACAGAGATAAGGTGAAACTTATTCAGCCAGAGACTGGTGAATCTATGGAATTCACTGCCACAGAAGGCTGTGGAGGCCAGGTCATTGAATATATTTAAGACGGAGATGGATAGGTTCTTGATTGTCAAGGGGATCAAGGGTTATGGGGAGAAAGTGGGAGAATGGGGTTGAGAAACTTATCAGCCATAATTGAATGGTGGAACAGACTCGATGGGCTGAATGACCTGGTTTCTGCTCCTATGTCTTATGGTCTTACGGTCTAATGCACCGTCAAAGGCTACTTAAAGACCTCGATTAGTTCATGGGTGAGCAGCCTGCCCAATGCCACCCACTCCACTGGCAAACCTGAAGTGGGGCAGCGTCAATATCTCTGACTCATGGATTGGTTCCAAGTCCAGTCAAGCCAGTCACTGCTGGTCACAGCAGTCGGTATGCCCATCCCAGGAATTCCCACTCTAATGGCATTGTGGGTCAACCCACAGCAGGGGGACTGCAGCGGTTCAAAAAGGCAGCTCACCACCACCTTCTGAAGGGCAACGAGGGACAGGCAATAAATGCTGTCCCAGCCAGTAATGGCCAAATCCCACAAATGAATAAAGAAAAAAAGAACAAGGGTCATGGCCATTTTGGGAATGGAGAAGGGGGATCAAGGCCAACAGTGGGGATATCAGGGGCAGAAATCACAGGGTTTGTTGTGGGGAGGTTTGTTGTGAGGAACTCAGTCGGTCAAGCTTGGACATTTCCCAAACAGTTACCAGGATCCAAAGGTAAGTGTGAAGGCATTTAGCTACTAAATCATTCAAACTCCACCTCCACCCCCGCCCATGATGAAACTGCCAGGTTCTTTGAAACTTGGGACATCCAGTTGACAAGAGTTGAATTCCAAACAATATTGGACGATGGGGCTCACATCATACAGAATATTATCATATTTAAAGTTTCATTCTGGCTCCTTGGATTGGGCATGCACCCACCCATCTCCCCAGTGAAAGCGGCAAATGGGTGGCTTGGAGGTGGATTTGAGTTAGACAGATGTCTCAGACTTCAATCCCAAATCCATCCACATCTTTTTGAAGAATATTTGCTCTTAAATCTGTTGTGCAGCTTGCAATTAATAGTGTTCAATGAAAATTAATGTCTTGCTTCTTCCTTTTGGGAATGCTCAATGCTGCATGGAACTGCACTTGTATAAACACCAAGACACAAACATTTATATCAGCAATGTATGTCCATAGATCATTATGTACCAATGAGGCACAAGTCAAGATTATGATGGGAATATATTTAATTTATCAAAAGATGCAGCTGCAACAATTCTCAATAGGTTTGGATATACTATCTTGAACAAAACAGTCTGTTTGATCCACACCTCCTCTATTAATCTAAACATTCCTTCCTTCCTCCATCAACATAATAGTGTTGCACTGTATACTATCTGTAAGATACACTACAGCAACTCATCAGTGGTTCTTTGGTACTGTCTCCAAAATCCATGACTTCTACCATCTAGAAGGACAAT